AAACAGCTCTTCACTTGGCTGATTTTTTTGTAATTTTTTTGGAAATCAATCCTGTTAATTTCTTCTCTGATTTTAATTATTTCTCTTCTCCTACTAGATTTGGGTCTGGTTTGCTGCAGTTTTTCTAGGTCCTTGAGATACGCTGAAAGCTCATTTATTTGGTGCCTTTCCAATTTCTTGATGTAGGCACCTATTGCTATAAACTTGCCTCTCAATACTGCTTTTGCCGTATCCCATAAGTTTTGATATGTTGTGTTGTTATCCTCATTTACTTCCAGAGAGGTTTTGATTTCTCTTTTGATTTCTTGAATGACCCAGTGTTCATTCAGGAGCATGTTGTTCAATCTCCATGTGTTTGCATACTTTCTAGGGTTTCCTGAGTTGCTAATTTCCAACTTCATTCTGCTGTGGTCTGAGAAGCTGCATGGTATGATTCTAATTCTTTTAAATTTGCTGAGACTTGCTTTATGGCCTAGTATGTGATCAATCCTAGAGAAGGTTCCATGCGCTGCTGAGAAGAATGTAAAGTCTTTAGATGTAGGATTGAAAGTTCTGTAGATATCTGTTAGATCCATTTGGGCTATAGTGTCGATTAAATCTGCTATTTCCTCGTTGATCTTCTGTCCAGATGATCTGTCTGTTTCTGAGAGTGGAGTATTGAAGTCCCCCAGTACTATTGTATTGGAATCTAAGTCTCCATTTAAGTCCCTTAACATATCTTTTAAATAGACCGGTGCCCTGTAATTAGGTGCATATACATTTATAATAGTTACATCTTCCTGTTGAATTGAACCCTTAATCATTATATAGTGCCCCTCTTTGTCTCTCTTAACTCTTTTTGTATTAAAGTTTATTTTGTCTGATATTAATATGGCTACACCTGCTTTTTTTTGGTTTTTGTTGGCATGGAATATCTTTTTCCAACCTTTCACTTTCAGTCTGCTTGCATCTTTGTTAGAGAGATGTGTTTCTTGTAGGCAACAAATAGTTGGGTTTTGTTCCTTAAGCCAATCAGCCAATCAATGTCTTTTAACTGAAGAGTTAAGTTCATTAACGTTTAATGTGACTATTGATACATAGTGACTTTGCCCTGCCATTTTCCCATAGATATTTTCTAGTATACGCTTTGAGCTTCCTATGCTCTTTTACTGGTAGGTTTTCTTCCTTTACCTTCTTTCATATTGATGGCCGTGTTTCTGTGTTTCTTAGTGTAGCACATCTTTAAGTATCTTTTGCAGGGCTGGACAAGTGGCGGCAAACTCTTTCAATTTCTGTTTGCTATGAAAAGTCTTTATTTCACCTTCATTCACAAATCAGAGCTTAGCAGGATATAATATTCTGGGCTGGCAATTTTTCTCTCTTAGCACCTGTGCTATGTTTCACCATTCCCTCCTAGCCTGTAGTGTTTCTGATGAGAAGTCTGCTGTGAGTCTAATTGGAGATCCTCTGAGAGTAATCTGACATTCTCTCTTGCACATTTTAGGATCTTTTCTTTATGTTTCACTGTGGAGAGTTTAATTACAATGTGTCCTGGTGAGGATCTCTTTTGGTCATGTTTATTGGGGGTTCTATGAGCTTCCTGTACTAGGATGTCTGTCCTTCTCCAAACCCGGAAAATTCTCTGCTAGTATCTCACTAAAAAGGCCTTCTAATCTTTTCTCTCTCTCTTCATGCCTTCAGGAACTCCTAGGACTAAAATGTTGGTTTTTAAAATAGTATCCTGTAGATTCCCAACAATATTTTTTAGATTTCTACTTTCCTCTTCTTTTCTTTGGTTTGACTGTATGTTTTCCTGTGCTCTGACTTCTAAGTCTGATATTCTCTCTTCTGTTTCACTGACTCTGTTTTTTAGACTTTCTAATGTGTTTGTCATTTGATCTATTGAGTTCTTCATTTCATTTTGATTTCTCTTCACAATCACACTTTCCTGTTCTATTAGTTTCTGCATTTCATTTTGATTCTTCCTTACAATTTCATTTTCACGAGAGAGATTTTCAATCCTGTCCAATAGGAATTTCTGTAGTTCAAGGATTTGCTTTTGAAAACTTCTAAGTGTTCTTATCATAAATTTTTTGAAATCTGTATCTTACATTTCTTCTATCTCATCATCTTCATAATCTTGGCTTGGGGTGTTTTGTTTATTTGGAGGCGTCATTGTGTCTTCGTTGATCTTGTTCCCTCGATTTCTGTGTTTGTTGCTTGGCATAGTTAATTCTTCCCTCACTGTGAGTTTTTTTTTTTTTTTTTATACTATGTCTGTGTTAAGTGGACTGTCTGCTGTTGGAGGAGCCTTGGAGGCTTGAGATGGGTGTGGCCTGAGAGCTCTGCTTGGTTCTTCCGGGTTACGGGTGTGCAAAGGTGACACCCTCAAGTTATGAGTGGTAAATCTCTCTATTTATTTATTTATTTATTTATTTATTTTCTTTTTTTATTCAGGAGGTAAGTAATACCGCATGGCTGAGCAGAATTGATGGTATTTAGCTTCCGATCTCTGGCTTCTACCCAAAGAGTCTGTGCGGGCTCAGTTTCTCCTGTGGACTCCCACTGGGTTGCCTAGGCTACTGAATTGTAGCGCCTCAGTTCCTTAGCTCTACCCTTTTGTTATGTATATCCAGAGGGGGCCTGCTCTTTGTCTCTTGCTCGCCTTTGCAAGGTTGGCAGAGAGAGAAACTCGTCTGTACCTGTACCCCCCCACCTTTTTTTTTTTTCTTCTCTCCTGTAGTCAGTCTGTTGAACTTTCCCGCCTCAAAGCCCGCTTCCCTCTAGATTCTGTCTGCCATTTCCCCACCAATATCTTGGGTTACTGAACTCACCTCTCCTTCCAGCGCTGATGTGTGGACTCAGGGCCGTGGGCGTCCCTGCTCTCCCCGCTGGTCGTCTGTGTCACATCTACTCCCCTTCCTGCACTGGCGCGCAGACCCTGCGGCTCCCGTGGCTCGGCTTCCGTGCAGTGGGCGACCTTGCTCTCCCCGTAGGTCCTCCGAGTCACAGCCACTAGATCTGGAAGAGTTTCCTCTGCAGTTTTTTCCTGATCCTTTTTCTGAGGCTACCGTAACTCCACTTTTATTAAACTAAATTTTCCTGGACTATTGGTGTGCGCCCTCACTCTTCCGCCATCTTGGCTCCGCCCCTCGTGAGCTGCCTCTTAATTTCAGGGGTGTGTGCCTCCCAGAGACATTTATGCAGCATCTCTACAGAGTGTTGATCTTTCTCTTGTCAGTTTATAATTGCTCTTTGTGCTCTAAGAATTTAATCCTTTGTCATAAGTATTGCAAATCATTTTCCTCCATGGATATTATTTATTTGTTGACTTTTCTTAATTAAGAGCTTTAATCTTGGCCAGCACCATGGCTCACTAAGCTAATCGTACATCTAAGGCGCCGGCACTCCGGGTTCTAGTCCCGATTGGGGCGCCAGTTCTGTCCTGGTTGCCCCTCTTCCAGTCCAGCTGTCTGATGTGGCCTGGGAAGGCAAATGGAGGATGGCCCAAGTGCTTGGGCCCTGCACCCACATGGGAGACTAGGGGGAAGCACCTGGCTCCTGGCTTTGGATTGGTGCAGTGCCGGCTGTAGCGGCCATTTTGGGGGTGAACCAACAGAAGGAAGACCTTTCTCTCTGTCTTTCTCTTTCACTGTCTAACTCTGCCTGTCAAAAAAAAAAGAGCTTTAATCTTCTGCTGTGATTGGAATTTATGTTTAAATATAGTGTGATGTGACTATATAACATTGTTTTCTTCAATATGATAGAATAATTTTGCCTGATGTTTTAAAAACATCTTGCAACTGAATTGAAATGTCATGTATATTATACATTATATCTCGACATACATTATATCTTTGTACTTATTTCTGAACTGTGTTTTCTGTGTTTTGTATTCTTTGTGCCAGTCCCATGGTGTTTTGATATCTGGCAAAGCCTGTTCTTCCTTATTTTTCCATTTGAACATTTCTTAGTTTTTCCCATATAATTACTTTATGAAATAAACTTTTCATTTTCTCCAGTTCAAGAAGATTCATCATTGGATTGTTATTAAAATTATATTCTCTTTGTAGGCAAATTTAAAAGTATTGTTTTTTTTAAAAATTTTTTGACAGGCAGAGTGGACAGTGAGAGAGGGAGACAGAGAGAAAGGTCTTCCTTTGCTGTTGGTTCACCCTCCAATGGCCACTGCGGCCAGTGCACTGCGACCAATGCACCGCGCTGATCTGAAGGCAGGAGCCAGGTGCTTCTCCTGGTCTCCCATGGGGTGCAGGGCCCAAGCACTTGGGCCATCCTCCACTGCCCTCCTGAGCCACAGCAGAGAGCTGGCCTGGAAGAGGGGCAACTGGGACAGAATCCGTCACCCTGACCAGGACTAGAACCCGGTGTGCTGGCGCCACAAGGCAGAGGATTAGCCTATTGAGCCTTGGTGCCGGCCAAAAGTATTGATATTTTTAAATATTGTCTTCCACTTAAGAACGTAGCATGTCTCTGTAATTTTATGTTCTTATTTTACATCATTAGTAGTATTTTAGAATTTGTTTTCTTACTAAATTTATTCTTTTGAGGTCAGTCTTTGGTCTATTGGTTAAGATGCTGGTTAAGACATCTACATCTCATATTTGAATACCTGGGTTCCATAACAGCTCTGACACCTGATTCCAGCTTCCTGTTAATTCAGACCCTCAGGGTCAGTATGTTGGTTCAAATAATTGGGTTTCTGCTACCCACATGGAAATCTGGAATTATCTGTGGGCTACTTGTTTTGGGTTCTTATCCCATGGTATTGTGGGCATTTGGGTAGTGAGTCAACAGATGGAGATCACCCTCTCTCTGTTATTCTCTGTTTCTTGAATACAAAATCTTCGTTAGTATTTTATAGATTTGTTGCTATTAAGAGGGAATTTCTTTTTATAACTTATTTTCATGTAAAGAGAAACAGTTGTTTTAATACCTTACCAGTAGAGACTCTTGCGTTTTATAGCTATAGTCTTAACAAAGACAAAAATTATAGGTACATAGTGATATCAAGTTTCTTTTATACATTTTTATCAATCATTTTTCTTTTAGTTTATCAAAATTTCCTAAATAACATAGAAAAATGATGATAGTTGCTTGTCACATAATATTTTTATTATTTTAAGAGATTTATTGATTTATTTGAAAGGCAGATATATATGTATGTATCTTCCATCATCTGGTTCACCCCCCCCCCCAAATGGCCACTTCGACTGGGGCTGTGTCAAGCTGAAACTAGGAGCCTAGAGCTCTATCCTGGCCTCCTCCATGGGTCTCAGGGACACATGTACTTGAACCATCTTTCTCTGCCTTCCCAGGCACATTAGCAGAGAGCTGGATTGGAAGTAGAGTATCTGGGACTGTAACTGGCACTCCAATATGGGATGTCAGTGTTGTAGATTGTGGCTTAACCTACTGTGCCACAATGCCGTCCAGGTTCATATTTTTAAGGATTTATTCATTTGAAAGGCAGCATGAGGGAGAGAGACACACATCTTCCACTTGCTGGTTCACTTCCCAGATCCTTGCAACAGCCAAGGCTTGGCTAGGCTGAAGCCAGGAGCCAGTCACTCCATCCAGGTCTCCCATGAGAGTGGCAGGAACTCAAGTACTTGGGACATCATCTTCTGCTTCCCAGGTTCATTACCAGGTAGCTAGACCAGAAGCATGGAGTTTCTGTGATTGGAACTGGCACACTGATACAGAATATTGGTTTCCTAAGCAGTGACTGAAGCTGCTGAGCCACAATGCCTGCCCTGGTTCATATTATTTTTAATGGTTACATTAGAATTACATTGTGTGGCTATGTCTTAATTATTTATTTATTTTTAAATTTTTTGGTTTTTAATTTTTAAGGTGGACAAATTTCATATATTTCATATATACAGATTTAGGAGCATAGTAATGCTTTCCACCCTACCCTCCCTTCCACCCAATTCCTACCCTCTCTACTCCTTCCTTTCACATTCTTTCTATCATAATTGTTTAATCAATCTCAAATTGATAGGTATCTTGGTTGTCTCTGCTTTTAATGGTTTTAAGAGGTGTTGAGATTAACATTATTGCAAATGCATCTTTGTGCATTAGAAGGGTGATTATTGTGATTGCTATGCTAAAATAATTTCACATTTGAAGTTTTGATGTATTTAGCAAATAGACTGGACTTCCATAAATAGCCAGTTTATACTTATACTATCAATGTATAAGAGAGCTCATTTATCTCTTGCTAATTCTGATTATTTTCTATCCTTTTATCTGTATCAGTGTGGTAGACAATAATTTATGTGGCATCATTTTTAATTATATTTCAGGATTTACTAATGAGGTTAACTCTTTTTATGTTCTGTATTATGAATAATGAATTGTATAATCATTTTAAAAATATTTATTTCTTGAAAATCAGAGTTACAGAGAGAGAAGGAGAGATAGAGCAGTCTTCTATTGGCTGGTTCACTCTCCAAGTGGCAACAACAAAGCTAGGAGTCTGGGACTCCATCTGGTTTTCCCATGTAGGTGACAGGATCCCAAACACTTGGGCCATCATCCACTGCTTTCCCGAGCATCTTAGCTAGGAATTGGATCAGAAGTGGTGCAACCAAGACATGATTTGGTGCTCATATGAGATGCTGGCATGATCTTACACAACATTGGCCCTGAATTGTCTGATTCTTTACCTCACTTCCTTTCTTGTGGTATTGAATGAGTCATATTGAATTATGAAATCCATATATTAGAGATAGTCATCTATCTTATTTATTGTAAAATTTATTTCTAGGGTTATTAAATTTGTTTTTGTTACTAAATATTGTTCTATAGTCTGTTTTATTTTTTCTCTTTCTGTCTTTGCTCACCCTTGCCAGCTAACAATTTGAGGGTTTTCTCTGTCATGTCTTTGGTGTTTCTAGTCTAGAATCAGGTTTCATAATAGTATTTGGTAACTCCTGTTGTGTAGTGATATTTGGGGGTTTTACCTTGTCTCTGAGCCACATGGCCTACCTGCATTCTAGGTGGTATTTTCTCTCTGGTCCTGCAGCCCTTTTCTCCCTTTCTCCCTGTGCTTGCAGTCAGCTGTTCCCTCTAGCAGCAGGCATGCAGTAGGTTTTTTTTTTATTCCTTTCCAATTGGTGAGTCTGGCTTTGGTCCACCATCTCTCACAAGGCTCTTTTTGATCTGCATTATCTCTTAGTAGTCAAACTACTGCTCCGACAGTGATGAGGTTGGCAGGTTTAAAGTAGGGACCTCTTTATATATGACAGCTATGGAAAGCATCTCTAATTGAGACTTCTGGCTGTGTAATCATTAGCATAAGCATCAGCATCCCTGTAATTAATAGGTGGGTAAGAAATCTATTTAATCTCTTTAGAGATGATGGAACCATAGTGTTTCCATGGTCAGAAATGTACAAATGGTTGGACAGTGTTAATTTCATATAGTGTGTTGGTTCAACATGTGAGTTTTGGAATTTAGATCAGCTACTTACTAGATCTGTTGTCTTATGCAAGTTTTGATTATTTTTCCAGTAGCTTTAATTTCTTCAGGAGTAAAATGGTGATTGTGTAAGTACAAAGATAATTGCCTGAGGAATAAATGAGTGTATATATATAATACATTTAGCTACTGCCTGCCACATAGTTGATGTTCAATAAATGTTAGAATTTATTGTTATGATTAATCTTCAAGTGTAAGTATCACCCTTTGGTAGCTCAGTTTTTTTCCTGGTACTAAAATTTTTCTCTTTTAAAACCACAATTGACTGTGATAAAATTGAACCAGTCAGAAATATTTGAACCCTGCTGTGATAATTTCATGAAAACTCTACTACTCTGAAGCTTAGATTTTTCAATATCTAAAATGAGTGTCATGATTAATAAAATAAAACACAAAGAGTAACACAATTCCTTGCAAAACAAAGATCTGAAAAATGTGGCATGTGGGAAGCACAGTTCATTTTTTAAAATATTTTTATTAAGGTATACAGGTTTCATATATTTCATTTTTTTAACTTTTATTTAATAAATATAAATTTCCAAAGTACAGCTTATGGATTACAATGCCTTCCCCCCAATAACTTCCCTCCCACTCGCACCCCTCCCGTCTCCCGCTCCCTCTCCCATTCCATTCACATCAAGATTCATTTTCAATTATCTTTATATACAGAAGATCGATTTAGTATATATTAAGTAAAGATTTCAACAGTTTGTACCCACACAGAAACACAAAGTGAAAAATACTGCTTGAGTACTTGTTATAGCATTAAATCAGAATGTACAGCACATTAAGGACAGAGATCCTAAATGAGGAGTAAGTGCACAGTGACTCCTGTTGTTGACTTAACAAATTGACACTCCTGTTTATGGCCTCAGTAATCACCCTAGGCTCTTGTCATGAGTTGCCAAGGCTATGGAAGCCTTTTGAGTTCACCAACTCTGATCATATTTAGACAAGGTCATAATCAAAGTGGAAGTTCTCTCCTCCCTTCAGAGAAAGGTACCTCCTTCTTTGATGGCCCATTATTTCCATTGGGTTCTCACTCACAGAGATCTTTCATTTAGGTCATTTTTTTTGCCAGAGTGTCTTGGCTTTCCATGCCTGAAATACTCTCATGGGCTCTTCAGCCAAATCCGAATGCCTTAAGGGCTGATTCTGAGGCCAGAGTGCTGTTTAGGACATCCGCCATTCTATGAGTCTGCTGTGTATCTCGCTTCCCATGTTGGATCGCTCTCCCCTTTTTTATTCTATCAGTTAGTATTAGCAGGCACTAGACTTGTTTATGTGATACCTTTGACTCTTGGACCGATCATTATGAACAATTGTGAACTGAAATTGATCACTTGGACTAGTGAGATGGCATTGGATTTCCTTTGTTGTTTTTCTGGTAAATTATCTATCTTCACATTCTTTCCTAATGATGACTATTTTCATGTGTTTTTGTGTGTAGCATATTCTTAAGCATCTTTTGTATGGCTGGATGTGTTGTGACAAATTTTTTCAATTTCTGTTCGTTATGGAAGGTCTTTTTAAAAGATTTATTATTTTAGTTAGTGGAGAGGTAGAGTTACAGACAGAGAGGGAGAGACTGGTTCACTCTTCAAATGGCCACAACGGCTAGAGCTGGGGCATCTGAAGCCAGGAATCAGGAGCTTCTTCTGTGTCTCCCATGTAGTTGCAGTGGCCCACACATTTGGGCCATTTTCTACTGCTTTTCCAGGCCACAGCAGAGAGCTGGATTGGAAGAGGAGCAGCCTTGATATGAGCTGGCTTCTATATGGGATGCTGGTGCCACAGATGGAGGCGTAGCCTACCACACAACTGCGCTCTCTCCATGGAAAATGTTTATTTCACCTTTATTTGTAAGTTAAAGCTTTGCACAGTACTGCATTCTGGGTTGACTTTTTTTTTTTTTTTTCTCTTAAGACATGTGGAGATCCAGTTTTCTCAGCAACATTTGTTGAAGAGACTGTCTTTGCTTCAGGGATTGATTTTAGCTCCTTTGTCAAAGATTAGTTGGTTGTAGATACATGGATCGATTTCTGGAGGGTTTATTCTGTTCCATTGGTCTACATGTCTATTTTGTGCCAGTACCAGACTGTTTTGATTATACCTGCCTTGTGGTATGTCTTGAAAACTGGTATTGTGATGCCTCCAGCTTTGTTTTTATTGAATAAAATTGCTTGAGCTATTTGGAATCTCTTGGGTTCCTTTATAGATTTTAGCATTTTTTATAGGTCTGAGAAGATTGTTGCTGGTATTTGGGATAGCATTCAATCTGTAAATTGTAGTATGGACTCATGATAGACATCACCAGAAAAGATCTTCACATTGACACATTGTAGTCAAACTTTCAATAGTAAAACATAAAGAAAAGATCCTAAAATGTACACAAGAGAAATGTCAGATTACTTTCAGAGTATCTCCAATTAGATATACAGCTGACTTCTCATCAGAAACCATAGAGACATGGAAAGAATAGAGAGACATGAGTTCTGTGTGCCTTGTGTTCTTGGATGTCCCTTTCTTTTTCAAATTATGGAAGTTTTCTGTGTTTATTTCACTGAATAAGTCTTCTAATCCAGTCTCTTTTTCTACACCTTCAAGAACTCATAAGACCTATATGTTGGATCATTTGATAGTATCACATAAATCTCCAACACTGATTTTAATATTTCTAATATTTTTGGTCTAACTGAAAATTTCCATAGATTTGGCTTCTAGCTTGTATACTCTTCTGCCTCACTAAGTTTATTGGTAAGGCTCTCCAATGTATTTGATATATTGAATTCTTCATTTCTAATATTTCATTTTTTAGTTCTCTTCAAAATCTCATTTTTTTTTGGAAAATTTTTCATTTGCTTCATGCATGGATTTCTTTAATTTGTTAATTTGCTTCTCATTGCTTCTGAGTAATCCTGTGATTAATATTTTGAATTCCATTTCAAGCATTTTAGCAATCTCTTTATCTACCTTTATCTCTTTATGTTCCTTTGTGGGGTCATGTGGTCTTCCTTATTCTTGGTTCTTGATTTTCTGTATTTATTTTTATGTATTTGTGGAAATACTTTTATTTTTTTCCTCTGATGGATTTTATCTTTAAACTATGCCTCTGTGGCTTAGTGAGATGTCTGCTCGTTCAGTGAATACATAGATGTATGTACTGGGTTTGGCCAGGGAACTCTGGTCAGTGCACCTGGGTGTAGTGAGCATCTAGGGTTGCACCAAAGTTGGGCGTGGTAGATCTCTTTTTAGCAGAAAGGAGAGTATGGGCCGGCACCATGGCTCACTTGGCTAATCCTCTGCCTGCGGCACCGGCACCCCGGGTTCTAGTCCCGGTTGGGGCATTGGGTACTAGTCCCGGTTGCTCCTCTTCCAGTCCAGCTCTCTTCTATGGCCTGGGAAAGCAGTGGAGGATGGCCCAAGTGCTTGGCCTTGCACCCTCATGGGAGACCAGGAGGAAGTACCCGGCTCCTGGCTTCGGATTGGTGCAACGCCGGCCGTAGTGGCCATTAGGGGAGTAAACCAATGGAAGGAAGACCTTTCTCTCTGTCTCTCTCTCACTGTCTATAACTCTCTCTGTGTCTCTCTCGCTGTCTAACTCTGCCTGGCAAAAAATAAAAAAAAAGGAGAGTATGATAACATTGTTGGTGTAATCACACCGTTACCTCCTCTCATCCAAGGTGTTCAAAGTCCAGATGTTATCCCACAGTGGGTACAATACTCATCCACTTTGCCATCTGAACTACACAAAGGATCTGTGCAGTCTTCAGAATGAGCACGGATTCCATTGCAGTGACCCACCCCAGGCAATCAGGAAGATCTGAGTATGTGGAGCCACTCACGTTGATTGCCCATACACCCCACTCTACCCTGTGCCCTCTCATGTCTCAGAATTCCTACAGTCTCAGCACTCCAGGCTTCCACAGTCATAGGGTGCAGAGGATCTGCTCTGCCCTGCTATCCTATTCTGACTACAGTGAGGTAGGGATATTCCCAGAGCCTTTGGGTACTCCACCTCGGCAGTTTGAGCCCTGGAGGCTGTAGTATGTTGAGAGGCTCTAGGCACCTCGAAGTCCTACATGGGTGCTTAGTCCCTGTCAAACCTTCCAGCCAGACTCAAAATCAGTTAGCTATGCAGATTTTTTCCCTCTGCTAGAATCTCTGGATCACTTGCATGCACAAGAGCCAACCGGATTTTGCCAGGTGCATGCACCCAAGCTGCTGCTGCCAGTATTGCTAACAAGAGGGCATCTTGTCCCAGCCAGTTGCTGGGTGTGTACACAAGAATTCCTGCAGCTGTTGCTTATGTCCAGAATGGCGCCCACCTTCTCTCAGCCAGTTGTCAGGTACCATTTTTGGGTGGGATGGAGTGAGAAAAAGGTGTCCCTCTTTTTTACTGGGTCAGTGGGTATCCTTTCCCCTTAGGGCTCCAGTTTGGACTTATGCCACGCTCTTTCTCTGTATCACCAGTGGCATGGACTGCTGCAGTCTTATCTTACCTCAATGCTCCAAAGCTGACCCTTCCTCTGGCTTCTGACTGCTGGAGTCATGTGTTGTGACTGTGTGCTGCTTCTCCACACCTTCTACATTGGTCCATGGTGTTCTTCTTCCTTCTGTAGAATTTCTACTGTGGTTTTCTCTTTAACTGTCCCCTGAGAATATACTTCTTCCTCTTGAATATACTTCCTACACTTGTTTTTTTTTAAACTATTTACCTGTAGCATATAGCAGTACACTCTTCCCTGTTCTGCCATCTTGGAATGACTCCTTGAAGCATAGTTCATTATCTTTTGTCCAAGCATTTTCAGTGTCTTGAAGGGATTATGCTAAGCTAGATGCACATTAGTTGATATCAGAATTCTTCCTGATTACCTTAAAATGAAGTTGAATAAAACACAAATAAGATGGTATTTTATATATGTTATGATATTGCTGTTATAAACACCAATGGCATGTTGTCTGCATAAAAGTTAGTGCCCACACAAATACGGTCATGAGGTAAAAAGCGCATGACTACAGTTTTCCCTTTTTCTCTAACTGCTTTATAGCTTTAAGTATAAAAATATAATCTGTTGAGGCTAGTGTTGTGGCACAAAGGTTTAAGCTACTGCTTGGGATATCAGCATCCCATATTAGATTGCTGGTTCAAGTCCTGGCTATTCAACTTCCCATCCAGCTTACTACTAATGTACTTGGGAGACAGCAGATGATGGTCTAAGTACTTGGTTTCCTGCCATCCATGTGGGAGGCCCAGATGGAGTCCTTGGGTCAGCTGCAGCTGTTGGAAGCATTTGGGGAGCAAACTAGTTAATGGAAGATCCTCTTCTGTGTCTCTATTTGTCTGTCTCTCCCCTTTCTTTCTATCGCTTAGTTCAATAAATGAATATTTTATAAAGGAACCTTTGCTTGTAAAATTCTCCTTATAAACTACACCATAAGTGAAATTTTTTCTCAAGCCTAATTTCTTAATGTATTTTATAAGTGTGATTAGAAAAAATATAGGATGAAATATATAATAATAATAGGATGAAAGGATATAATTACAAAAAGTGCATGCTGTATGAGTGTCCTACTGATGATTACTAAGGAGAATCACCAAAAGACACATTTGAAAATAGTGCTCATGTTCTACTTTTCCCAAATTCAGTTTTAGCAACATTGATTGATTTCCATCTCAAGCTGATGGAAGCTTGGTCTTTTTGAATCATAGAATGAGCTTTTCTGTTTGTGGGAGTATTTGTGTTGGGGGATCTGGAAGAGTTAATTATTTTTTGCTTTGCACCTGTGCTTTGTAAAATATGATGTAAGAAGTAGTGCTTTGAATTCATTTTAACTGTAGGTTTCCTGTTTCCTCAGGATGAGAAGTAGTTTCTTGTAAATTCCTTCATTTAGGCAGATGGCATCACATCAAAACATAATTGGATAAAAGCAATTTTTTTGAGCAAATTAAGTGCAGACATTTCTCTGCAGGTCTTCTTAAATCCAAGGGTGAATAGTAGAGTATTTAGGTCAGTGCTCTCTGGGTTCCCAGTGGGAATTAGAGAGGATGTTAGAGGTACTCCAGAAGATGTGCAAGGAAATCCACTGAATGGCGAGTTTTGCTAATAATTTTGTAGCCAATTTGTCAGAAGAGTACTAGTTTTACATGTTTTTCATTTATTTTGAGAACAGAATAGGATCTTTCTGGTTTGTTAATTTACAGTGTATTTCAACACATTGCAGTTTACATGTACCTAGCTAAGTAGATTTAAATTTAATGGGATTTTTGAACAGAAATTGGATTATATATAGTACTAATAATACCAGTAAAAAGAATTAATAATATTGCAAATTGATGGTTTATCTTTAGTATTAACTTTTTGTGAACCATATAATGAGAAAAAATAATCTGATTTTGTCTGAATTATCAAAAACACTTTGACATTTGGGTTTACATATGTTGTCTTTAATAATGAGTCTTACTGGAAGTTTATATAATGCCCAGAGCATAATTATTGCCTTAAAAATAGAAGCAAAACTGTTGTACAAATAAAATAAAAGTCTAAAATGTTACTTATTTGACTTTTAGTTGATTAATTTGAAATTTCTTTTTTGGTCTTTTTATTTAAATTTATTCATTTATTTACATAAGAAGAACAGATAGCATGTATTTCATATGTACAGTTTTAAGAATATAAATGATATTTCCCACCTGCTCTCCCCTTTCCTCTCCCCTCCTTACTATTTTTCTTTTAATTTTTGTAATGAAATATTTTCAGTTTACTTTATAATCATAAGCTTAATCCTCCATTAAATAAATAATTCAGCAAGTAGAAAGACCAGTGTTCCTCAGGAGTAATAGACAAGGGCTTTAAATAATAACCAAATTTCAAGATGTTTTTTTATCTGTTTTATAATGTAACTAAATTGACTAGTACTGCCATGTGTGTATGTGTAATCTATGTGTATATGTGTAATTGCGTATGCATGAATGATATGTGCTCAGAATATTCTACTGGTAGGTGTATGCAATCCAAAAAATCTGGAGACCAACAGCCTACAGAGTCCTTTCTTCCTCAAAGCAGCATAGGAGTGCATGTAAGCAGGATTTTTGAGATTCAACAAACCCATATTTGGGTCTTAAAAATTCCATGTGCCAGTTATGTGGACATTGTGAAAAATCCATCTCATTTTTATTTGTGAAATGGGAAAATAATATGGTAGATTTATCAAGATTAGATTAACCAAGTGCTTAGTAAAATGCCATGCACTCAATGAATAGTAGCTAATGTTAATAGTATCATATTATATTTATTAATAAAGAGATTGGCCATCCTTTGGGGAATCTTTGAAAATTTAGCTCATGTCTCATATAGTGTCTCAATGCAATAAAAAAAAGCTAATTGGATTCTACAAGGAGTAACTCCTTAAGTTTGAGCGTTGTCAGAAGTAATTATTTCCATGCATTCTAGTGTGTGTGTGTGTGTGTTTGTGTGTAAGGGTAAGGTCTAGGAGGAACTTGAGTTTATAGAAATCATATGAGCATGAACATGGGAACATCCTTGTCACACTTCTTCTCTAAAGCAGTTCCAGTCTCTATTAGAGATCTAAAGGGAAGTACTGCAACTATTCTTCAATTTCTTTATAGTTTTTTGTCTGTTTCCTTTAAATGTAATGGCTTTAGCTGTTGTGTTACTTGTTTTTTTCTTAGTATTAAGAAAATGTATGGAGAGATTCCAAGGTAGTGGAATAAGGAGGGCGCTTACTGCTCTAGTCCAGGGGAAGATTGTTAAAAAAAAAAAAAAGTGGAGAGAGTGCAATCTCAGGGAAGAGTTAGGGAGAAAACTGCAGAGGAAACTCCATGCAAGTTGGAGGGACACTGTGGATCTACACAGAAGGTGTGGATGTGTAGCATGAACATGAACACAACACAGAACCCCAGCAACCGAGAACCTCAATACCAGCTTTGGAGAGTGAGGGCAGACAGGCTGCAGTAGCCCAAGCCATTTGTGATAAGGCTGCAGGAAGAACCTGTTGTGACTCCAACTTGAGCCCTGTGGCAGACAGTGTACTTGACAACCTAGACTGTTGTGGCCAGTTGGGGAGTGTACTAGTGAGTGACAGACCTCTCTCTCTCTCTGTGTGTATGTGTCTCCTTCTCTCTCTGTGTAACTCTGCCTTTCAAACAAATAAATAAATCTTTAAAAAAAAATGGGGGCCAACACTGTGGCCCAGTGGGTTAATGCCCTGGCCTGAAGCGCCAAGCGCCGGCATCCCATATGGGTACCAGTTCTAGTCCCGGCTGCTCCTCTTCCAATCCAGCTCTCTATTATGGCCTGGGAAAGCAGTAAAAGATGGCCCAAGTCCTTAGGCCCCTGACCAGCGTGGGAGACCCAGAAGAAGCTCCTGGCTCCTGGCTTTGGATCAGTGCAGCTCTGGCCATTGCAGCCAACTGGGGAGTGAACCAGAGGATAGAAGACCTTCTCTCTCTCTTACTCTCCTCTCTCTGTGTAACTCTTATTTTCAAATAAATAAATTAATTAAAAAAAGAAATGAAGAATTCAATAGATCAAAAAAAAAAATACAGTGGAAAGCCTTAACAACAGACTCAGTGAGACAGAAGAAAGAATATCCAAGTTAGAAGACAAATCTCTGGAAATTTTACAGTCAGACCAAAATAAAAAAAAAAGAAAATATAAAACTTAAAAACAGCATTGGAGATTTATGAGATACTATCAAACAATCCAAAATCTGGATTTTAGGAGTTCCTGAAGGTGTGGAAAAAGAGAATGCATTAAAAGGCTTTTTTGAAATAGACATTTGTGAATTAATTACAGAAAACTTCCTTATTTTTGGGGAAGGAAAGGGATGTCAAGTACAGGAAGCACACAAAATTCCCAATAGACATGACCAGAAAACATCTTTACCCCACTGCACATTGTAGTCAAACTTTCCACAGTAAAACATAAAAAAAGATTCCAAATGCACTGAGAGAAATGCCAGGTTACTTTGAGAGGAACTGCAATTAGACTCACAGCTGCCTTCTTAACAGAAACCCTACAGGGTAAAAGAGAATGTCAAGATACAGTCCAAATCTTATGAGAAGAAAAAATCAACCCAGAATACAGTGCCTTCCAAAGCTCTCATTTATGAATGAAGGTGAGATAAAGATCTCCCATAGCAAACAGAAAGTGAAAGAATTTGTTAGCACTTGTGCAGCCTTAAGGATGTGCTACACATGGAAACACAGAAACATGGTCATCACTGTGCAAGAAGATGAAGGCAGAAAAACACCCAGTAAAAATGCAAAGGAAATCCAAAGTAAACAATAAGAATATTTACGGAAAATAACAGGGCAATTAATTGCTTATTAATAGTCACCTTGAGGGGCTGGCACTGTGGCATAGAGGGTAAATCCGCTGCCTGCAGTGCTTGCATCCCATATGGGCACCAGTTTGTATCCCAGATGCTCCACTTCTGATCCAGCTCTCTGCAATGGCCTGGGAAAGCAGTAGAAAATGGCCCAAGTCCTTGGGCCCCTGCACCTGCATGGGAGACCTGGAAGAAGCTCCTGGCTCCTGGCTTCGGATCGGCACAGCTCTGGCCCTTTCAGCCAACTGGGGAGTGAACCATCGGATGGAAGACTCTCTCTCTCTCTGCCTCTCCTTCTCTCTCTGTGTAGCTCTGAGTTTCAAATAAATAAATAAATTAAAAACAGTCACCTTGAATGTAAATGGCCTTAACTCTCCCCTTAAAAGATACAGACTGGCTGAATGAATTAAAAACCAAGACATCTATTTGCTGCCTACAAGAAACATATCTCATTAACAGTGCACAGAGACCAAAAGCGAAAGGATAGAAAAAGATATTCCATGCTAACAGAAACCCAAAAAGAGCTGATGTAGCCATCCTGATATCAGAAAAAATAGACTTTAACACAAAAACTATTAAAAGAGACAAAGAAGGGGACTATATAATGATTAAGGGATCAACTCAACAGGAAGTTAGGACTATAATAATTGTATATGCACCCAATGCTAGGGCACCTGGCTATTTAAAAGAGATGTTAATAGGGCTGAACTACTGACCATTAAGATTTAGGATAAAGTATCTGTAATCAAGATGTGTGGTATTGGCCGGTGCCACAGCTCACTTGGCTAATCCTCTGCCTGTGGCACCAGCACTCCGGATTCTAGTCCTGGTTGGGGTGCTGGATTCTGTCCCGGTTGCTCCTCTTCCAGTCCAGCTCTCTGCTGTGGCCTGGGAGGGCAGTGGAGGATGGCCCAAGTGCTGGGCCCTGCACTCGCATGGGAGACCAGGAGAAGCACCTGGCTCCTGGCTTCAGATCGGTGCAGCGCCGGCTGTAGTGGCCATTTTGGGGGTGAACCAATGGAAGGAAGACCTTTCTCTCTGTCTCTCTCTCTCTCATTGTCCACTCTACCTGTCAAAAAAAAGATGTGTGGTTTTAGTGAAAGAAAGACAGTTGGACAGAGCAGAACAGAATATAGAGCCCAGAAGTAGATCCACAAATTTATTGATCTTCAACAAAGGAGCCAAGGCAACTTGGTGGAGAAAAGATGCTGGGAAATGGTTGTTGAACAACTGTACATCCACATACAGAAATATAATGAATATAGAAAGGTATCCTATGTCTTTCATAAAAATGAAATAAATAAGGATCATGGGCCTAAATGTAAAATGTTAAGGTGTAAAATTTCTAAAATATAAGATAAAAATATATAACATAGGAGAAAATCCAGGCAACTTGAGTTTATTGTTTGTCAGGTGCATGATCCATGAGAGAAAAAAATGAAGAAGTTTTGGGACTTCTTTAAAATTAAATTATTCTCTGAAAAAGACACTTTTTTTTATTTGACAGAGTTAGACAGTGTGAGAGAGAGACAGAGAAAGGTCTTCCTTCTGTTGGTTCACCCCCCAAATGGCTGTTGCGGCTGGAGCTATGCCAGTCCGAAGCCAGGAGCCAGGTGCTTCCTCCTGGTCTCCTATGTGGGTGCAGGGGCCCAAGCACTTGGGCCATCCTCCACTGCCTTCCTGGGCCACAGAAGGGAGCTGGACTGGAAGAGGAGCAACCGGGACTAGAACAGGTGCTCATATGGGATGCCAGTGCCACAGGCGGAGGATTAACCGAGTGAGCCAAGTGAGCCATGGTGCCGGCCCCAAAAAGACACTGTTAATAGAATGATTAGCTAGGTACAGAAATACTTTGAACTCTTAATTATTTTAATTTAGAATAAAATAAAATTATGTTTAATTTGTTCAGAAATGAGGCTGACTATAAGGCTGCTTTGTGTCGTCATAAACAATACATGGGCAATTGCTTTATTCAAGTTCATCCAATTACTAAGAAAGGTATGCTAGAAAAGATAGATATGATTCGAAAAAGACTGCAGAACTTCATCTATGACCAGAGGGAAATGATGTTAAATCCGGAGGGAGATGTCAACTCTGCCAAAGTTTGTGCTCACATAACAAATATTCCATTCAGCATTATCAAGATGGATGTTCTTCAGTTCCTAGAAGGAATTCCAGTGGATGAGAATGCTGTACATGTTCTTGTTGATAACAATGGGCAAGGTCTAGGACAGGCATTGGTTCAATTTAAAAATGAAGATGATGCATGTAAGTCTGAACACTTACACCATAAAAAACTTAATGGGAGAGAAGCTTTTGTTCATGTAGTTTCCCTAGAAGATATGAGAGAAATTGAGAAAAATCCCCAGACCAAGGAAAAAAGGGGTTAAAGGTGCCTGTGCCAGGTAATCCTGCAGTACCAGGATTGCCCAGTGCAGGAATGCCCAGTGCAGGAATGCCCAGTGCGGGAATGCCTGGTGCGGGAATGCCTGGCGTGGGAATGTCCAGTACGGCACTACCCGGCGCAGGAATGCCTGGTGCGGTAATGCCTGGTTCAGGAGTGCCCAGTGGAGGATTGCCCAGTGCAGGAATGCCTAGTACAGGATGTAAAGAGCATCCCTTCTTGACTGTAGGATCAAAGGAGGCCAACAATGGGCCTCCATTTAACTTTCCTGGTAATTTTGCTGGGTCGAATACCTTTGGGCCACCACTCCCTCCTCCAGGATTAGGAGGGGCCTTTGGTGATGGTAGGCCTGGTATGCCTTCAGTTGGAAGCAGTGGTTTGCCTGGTCTAGGATTGGATGTTCCCGGTTTTGGAGGCGGACCAAATAATTTAAGTGGGCCTTCAGGATTTGGAGGGGGTCCTCAGAATTTTGGAAATGGCCCTGGTAGTTTAGGTGGCCCTCCTGGCTTTGGAAGTGGCCCTCCTGGTCTTGGAAGTGCCCCTGGGCATTTGAGCAGGCCACCAGCCTTTGGGCCTGGGCCCGGGCCTGGGCCTGGCCCAGTCCATACTGGTGGTCCCCCTGAGTTTGGATCTAGTTCTGGAAAACCAGGACCTACAGTAATTAAAGTGCAGAACATGCCCTTCACTGTGTCTATTGATGAGATTTTAGATTTCTTTTATGGCTATCAGGTAATCCCAGGCTCAGTGTGTTTAAAATACAATGAAAAAGGTATGCCCACGGTTTAGGCCATGATGGCTTTTGAATCTCGAGATGAAGCCACAGCTGCTGTCATTGACCTAAATGACAGATCTATAGGCTCGAGAAAAGTAAAACTTATATTAGGATAGCCGTTCACATCAGCTCTTTATAGGGTAGATCTTCATATTGCTGTGACTAATGCATCCAGATTGTTTTCCTAGTATTTCCAGGTTAGAACCTGTGGATTATTTCAATTGCATATAGATTGGTTTCCATAACATAGAGCATTGTTGACTGTTTACAGAAGACTCATGATCGGGATAAACATTGCTGTATGTTACTGTAAAGCTCTCTGGAGAGAACAAAAAATGATTCTGACATACCATTAGAGAAACCATTTGTAAAACTCAAGCTACCACATAAGCTTATCAAGGAGTCTAGATTGGCTTTGTTTTACACCATATGGGATGAAGAAAATAGAAATGTCAGTAGAGCTGTTTGAGGGTGCTCTTGCCAGCTGCGGAAAAATAAGTTGGCTACTCTTGGAATTTGGTTTAAAGCTGGACAGATTTGCCTTGTAGGTTCAAAGTTTTGTCTAAAGTCCTCATTTTCTTTAAAACCAAATAAAATCTCTGAATACAGAAAAAAAAAGAAATTCTCTTCCCCTTTTCTCTACATATGCTGTAGTATGTATTTCAAAAGTGAAGTTGCTGATTCTTTCCACACTAGTAATGGTTTACAGAAGAAAAGGTGACTAATGATTTGATGCTTTTGTGAATCTTTTTGGTAATTTCAGTAGGATTTTTGGGTTTTCTAACTTGAATTAAGAGAGATAGAATTAAAGTAGCATTTTTTTCTGTCATCAGATCATTAGTGTAATTTTGTATAATAATGACCTTTTTTCAAGTGAAAATTTTCATTTATCCTGAGCATATTTCCCCAGAATTACCATTTTCTCACTCCATTTGTGAAAATTAGACTTTATACATCTTTGTATAGTGGAGCATTACTTCTCCATTAATCTCACCCTTTTTCCAGAGCATTGAAGTCATACTTTATATTAGGACCAAGAAGAATTCTCATCGTTCTATTTTCCTAAAGCAGCAAGGACATATTATACCTTTCAAGGATGGAATTTTATACATACTTTTAGGAGCAGTTTCCACATTTGTGCTGTGGCTACCACTCCAGTCTCTTCAGAGAGTATTTAGGGCTGAAGAGTTAACCAGGAGCTGAGAATACAATTTTGTTTTTGAGTGGTTAAAAAAAAAAAAAGAAAAAACCAAACTAACATCCTTGTGTTTAGTTAGGTAAGTATTATGATATTTAAAAGACATTTGCTAATGATACAGACTTTTTTTTTGCTGGAATGTGATTTGTGGAGAACTGATTGATCTGCCTGCGTTAAAGATTTTTTTATTTAAGGGTCGGTGCTGTGGTGTAGCAGGTAATGCTGCCATTGGCAGTACCAGTATCCCATATGGACACCGGTTCATGTCCTGGCTGCTCCACTTCTGATCCAACTAGCTTCTGGTGTGGCTGGGAAAGCAACAGAGGATGGCCCAAGTGCTTGGGTCCCTGTACCCACATGGGAGACCTGAAAGAAGCTCCTGTCTCCTCACTTCCATCAGGCCTAGTTCTAGCTGTTGCGGCCATTGGGGACTGAACCAATCTTTCTGTCTCTCCCTGTCCCTCTCTATAACTCTGCATCAGGAATGAATGAATGAATAAGTAAATAAATAAATCTTTAAAAAGAAGATTTTTTTATTTATATTACTCTTTCCCTTCTCAATCACTGACTCCAAGCCTGTATTTCTTGATCCTCCATATGAGCAGACTCAGAAAACCTGATTTTCATGAGAACTCACATAATCAACCAGTTTCATGTTCAATAATGATGTTTACTACTTTAATTTCTTCCAACATTTTTGTTGTATATGTGACAGTTTCAAAATTATTTTTCATGAGCTGAAATACCTAACACAGTGTATGAAGAAATTTTCTTCATGTAATATTCAACCTGTTTGTGAAAGGGGAAAATTGAATAGAACAGGGTCTACATTGGTTATACAGCCAGAACTCATTTTGGAGTGTTTGGTAGGTATTGAATGTTGCCACTTTTGTTCTTGAGAAGAACATTTTTCTTGAGAAGAAGAGGGAATAAAGAGAACTCCATCCAGCGCAAGAGTTTCCTGTTTAGCATTATCATCCCATTATTGGAGTCACCCTGTTTTAGCTGGGAAATAATCTGTTCTACCCTCAGGGACTTGTTTGCCTTGCTGAAGTCATAATTTCAGCATTTAGTACTCCAGGCAAGGATTCCAAGTAACTCATAAAAAGCTAACCAGATAAAAAATTTCCAAATTAGATAATTTTTTGGCTGCAAGGGTTATTAGAATTTAATTCTAACCCTGTCACGTTAAAGGGAGTTAAACTGAGGCTACTTGTTCATACAGTTGCCTATGTGGGAATAAATCCAAACTTTGGATTCTTGAGTTCATTGTTCTTCCCACTACTGTAAAATGATTTCTGTCCTGGAAATGTAATAATGTTTTGCCTAACTGAAAAAGAATTATGCAAGTATATAATTAAAGACTTAGTTCAGGGGTTGGCGCTGTGGCTCACTTGGTTAATCCTCTGCCTGCAGCGCCAGCATCCCATATGGGCGCCAGGTTCTAGTCCCAGTTACTCCTCTTCCAGTCCAGCTCTCTGCTGTGGCCAAGGAAGGCAGTGGACAAGTGCTTGGGCCCCTGCACCCGCATGGGAGACCAGGAGGAAGCACCTGGCTCCTGGCTTTGGATCAGCATAGCTCCGGCCTAACAGCCATTTGGGGGGTGAACCAATGGAAGGAAGACCTTTCTCTCTGTCTCTCTCTCTCTATCTGTCAAAATAAAAGAAAGAAGACTTAGTTCATATATATGTATATGTATATCTGTGTGTACATATATTGTTTGAAGGTCTGCTCTTTTAATGCAGAAATAGCAACCCATTCAGCCATAGATGAGTCTATGTAACTAACAAACATATCCATGACCACACATGAAGGATAGTGCTTTACTTTTATTATGGTAGCAAATAGGGAAGGATTTTACTAAGTGCATATTTTACCTGAGTCTTGAAGGAATAATATGAAGATTTAAGATGTCTGAGAGGATCTAGTTTAATTTTATTGCAAATGGGATATAAACTTAACTCTTTATATCCTTCTGCCATTTTCAAGTCCCTGTAGTTAAAGCATCATGGGAAAATCTAATTTAAGAAACCACATCACACTAAGAGGACTGACACTACTTAGATAAATCTAAGAATATGTTTTATCAGTTTTTCAGTCTTTTATATTTAATTTTGGTGGCTAGATGGTAGTTGCAACTGTGATCTTTTTTAGAATAATGATTAGACTTTAGGAATGTTGGATAATGAACAGAAAAATATCCCTTTGTCATATGATTGTCATCTTTAATAGAATTGTTTAGGAGATAATATAAATTAACTATTAAATTTCCTATTGAGAAATTGGAAAACATTTCTAAATTACTATTAGGGGCATACTGTGTTACTAAAATCAACTCATTTTTGGTGTGTGTTCTCTAAACAGTGTCTTCTCTATGTCTTACTATAGGTTGCCACAGGTCACTTTTAATGCCTTCTCTCTTTAGTTTATGACTATTAGTTTGAAGTCAATACTTAGTTGAAATACTGTTATACTATCTGTCAGGTCATGATATGCTTTCAGCAGGCAAACACTCCAGCACAAGTCAGTTTCAGACTGCCTAGTTTCTTGTCATTGTATTTGATTTCAGTTGCTTGCTTTCTAGCAGCTCAAAATGACAATTATCTTCTTTTAACTCTGCTGTAGCTATTATCTGTATTTGAAGAGAAGGCACGGGATGTCACCTGTTTCAACTGTTTTTATTTCCTTCATCTTGCAAGAAACAGCCTGTTTTATTTTACAGGAGTTAGTTCTGTATTTTTATACCATGTTTAAAAAAGCAAAATAGATTTAAGCTGCGATAAGCTGTTTGCACCTATTTCTGTTTTGCTTCTCAATAGAATATTAATATTCACAGAAAACTAACAGGATGCCTTCCTAGAATGATGAACAGGAAATACATAGTGTTCACTTTATTTCCTTTCTTCATTCCAAGAAAAATATGCTAAAGGAGCAAATTCCTGAGGGGTACATGTTGAATGTCAATCTAGAAGCTCATAAGCTTCCATAAAAATTCCAGTAATTATGCTGTTGGTATTTTGAGTACTGTTTAATAAACCAAGCATTTATTAACTGAAAATCAAATGTATAAATGGTACATTACTAGGTGCCATGGATAAAAATAAATTAAATATATGTTCTTAATTTCCAGGGTAGCTTACATAAACTATGTTAAATAGTGATTTAAAATGCATGTCAATATAAAAATAACATTTAGAGTTACAAAATTAATAGGAAAATGTAAAATTAAGTTGTTATAATTTATGCTTAGTGTTGATTGAGGTAGAGGAGGGCATGAGTTTTTAAGGAAATGTGTCTATATAGAGTGCATTCATTCACATTCCAAATTAGAATGGGAATATGGAGATAAATTGTTAAGAAATGATAAAGAGTTAGAAAACCAATGGCAGGAAAAAACTTAAAATATAAGACTAGAAACTGATTATGGGCAGGAATTGTGATCCAGCAAGTTCAGCTACTTTTTAGGATACCTGCATCCTATTTTGGAGTTGCTGGTTCTTAGTCCCAGCTATCCGTGCTGGTGTGCCCCGGGAAACAGACAGCAGATGATGGCCCAAGTACTTGGGATCCTGCCACCCTTGTGGGATTCCCAGATTGAGTTCTTGGCTCTTTGCTCAGGCCTGACTAAGCCCCAGCTGTTGCAGGCATTTGGGGAGCAAACGAGGGGATGGAAGATTCTCTCTCCCTCTCCTCTCCTCCCCATCTACTCTGTCTTTCCATAAGAAATAAGATAAGAAACTGATTAATATTGAGAGCTATTTTTAATCTTTCAGAACTAAGGATTATGTTTAAGAGAAAGTTTATTATTCTATTTCAAAAGCTGCCTAAACTCTTTCTAAATTCATATCATATAAACATCAGAGAAAAAGATACAGAACGTTTTCTAGAAAAAGTAGTAAAGAGTAGTAAATTCTTAAAGGCCAGCAGGAGTAGAATTCTGATTTTAACATCAACAGTGGGACCCTGGAAAATAACTAAACCACTTTAAGCCTTACCTTCTGAAACTATAAAGTGGCATAGTAATAGTATCTACCTCATAGGATTGTTGTGAAGATTAAGTAGTGTGAATGTTTAGGGCTTAAAATAATGTCCAGTTTATAGTAAGCCATAAGTAAGCGGCAACCATTATGAATCTTATATCGCTAAAGCTTGAAAAAAATTTTAAAATATAATAATAATGTGCTTTATTTTAATGTTGCTTTCTTCTTATATTAAAATCAGAATTGTTCTTCTTATATAAACTCTCGAGAATCCTAGCATTTTAGTCAGATTTTGCATGTTAAAAATGTTATTAAAATAGTTTTAATAAAATATCATTAAATTCCCATATGAATTATCCCCAAACCCTAGTGAAATCTACATCAATACAATGGTTATCATAAAGTGGAGATTATTCTCAGGATTTTTTTTTTTTTTGGTTGTTGTTAAAGACATTTCAAAACAGATTTCCAGTAAGTGATAGACTAAGTGGTAGACTGTTTCAACAGATTTTAAGAACCGAGACTTTTTGCAAACCTAAATACAACAGGCAGTTTTAATAATTTTTAGTGATGACGTAGTAGATGGAATTAAGGACAAAAGAGGTAGATAAGTTCTTGTCTGGTATACCGATTAACTATGTATTTAAGGGAATAGTTTAAAAAATATTGCAAAGTTTTTATTACTATTGAAAGAAGTTTGTAACTTTATATCATCAGATAAAATTTTGACCCTTTGTTGATTTAGTTAATGGAGATACTTTAAACTGATTTAGTTAATGGAGATACTTTAAATTGTGAAAAGAGAATATTAGAGTTTATCACAAAAAAAAGTCACAGAACTAATTGAATAACTCATTTATTTTCCAGACTTTTTGGAGTAACCTATCAAAATTTTAGGCTGAAATTGTGGTTCAGTGAGTTATGCTGCTTGCTTACAATGCCATCATCCCATAGTGGAATGCAGTTCAAGTTCCCACTACTTTGCTTCCAACCCCACTTCTTGATACTGTGCCTGGGAAGGCAGTGGAAGATGGCCCAAGTGTTTGGCCCCTGTAGTTTTTGCCAGTCATGTGGGAGACAAGGATGGAGTTCCTTGCTCCTGGCTCCACCTGTCCTGGTTGTTGCAGCCATTTGAGGAGTTAACCAGCAGAGGAAGATCTCTTTCTCTTTCTCTCTATTGTTCTGTCTTTCCAATGAATAAAAGAAATCTTTTAAAAAAGACAAACTTTCTAATTACTAAAATGACCAAATGTCTCTTGTAAACGGGGATTTACTCTTTAGCTTTGTAAGGACTCTAGAAATATAAATGTTCTTTAAAAAAATGCCTATTTCAAAAATTACTTTTTCCGTTGGTCATAGTAGATACAAAACTAGTGAGCTGAGCTGTCTCTGTCCCCTACGGGAAGCACAAAAGCAAACAGTAATGTTGCTCCTTTTCAAACCAGTATTCAGGTGTATTGGTAAGGAGGACTTAACAACTTGGCCTTGTGCTGATCGTTAACTATGTACTGGTTGATAACTGGTGAGCTACAATTTGTGGATATATCTTTAGGCAATATATTGGAAATGGTATAAATCTTGATGTAACTTTGGACTCAGTCTAGTCAGGACCTGGTGGTCCACTTTACCTGGCATAGCTTTACCTTGGCTCCCACTGTGCTGTGTTTGTTTCAGGTCTCTGCCATCTATTGAAGATAGCCCTGAGCCAGCTTCTTAGAGGTTTCATTTTAGGTTTGCCTTGCTCCTCACCATAGAAAATCCTATGTGATGATTACTATCTTGTGACCTTCTTATTCTTTCTTCAGGGTATGTGAAAACCTTTGCGTTTACTCAAGAATGCTTTTTAAAATTTGCTCTGTGGGAAAAAAAGAAGAGAAAACCACTCAAGCCCAGTTCCCACAATTTAGAGAAAACACAATTCCTTGAAAACACTTCAGTGTTTCATAATATGGATGGTCCTAAATGCAAAAGCTTAAATCAGTTGACTGATAAGAATATATAAAATATAGATAATATAGAATGATGTTTAAAATAAAATAGAAGGGAACCATTTTTTAAGAAAGTTTTAACACCAGGACTTTTATGAATTCCGGATATCATATGTTTTCCCTAATCTGAGGTAACTAATAGAGTACCTAAAATGCAATGTATTGGAGTGAAATGAACATTTTGAGATTTGATGATTATTTATAGCCTTTATCACTTCCATTGAGGAACAGTGTTTTTTTTTTTTTTCTTCTTCACACTATGTGTTGCACTCTTTTACTTAGTGAAGGGTTAATTATACAATGATTAAATAAACTGAAAATAGAGCTTTGTAAAAATTAAGGTGTAGGAACGTGAGGGGGAAGAGGAAAAAGGGTTGGAGCTTGGACTGGGGGAGGGTAGGGTAGGAAGTATCACTTTCCCAAATCTGTATATATGAAGTACATGATACTTATATAACTTAAATAAAATTAAAAAAAATAAAAAATTAGAAACTTACTTAGTAACACTAAACCTCATTTTTCTCATCTTTGAAACAGATAAACAATTATTTCCTACCACATAGGATAGTTGTGAGGACTAAATATGTAAATTCACATAGGAAAGAACCTGGTGAGTCATACTCAGTAAATTTAGTAATACTGTTATTAGATAAGAGAATGGTCATATTTTAATAATGTACCATTGTATAATTATTCAGGGGAGTGTTATACAGATATTGTATAATGTTATACAGCTATTTATGGGATTATTTTAATGAAATATAAAAATATGGCATAATGTTAAGAGAAAAACATCATATACAAAACTATATAATGAATTATCTCAGTTTTTTTTTTCAAAAAGGATTAAATGACTTTTATAAAGACTTCAAGAAGAACTATCAAAACCACTTTATGTGTGAGCGGTATTATGGGGGATTTAAATTTTATTCTTTATGTGTTTGTGTCTGAACTTTGCTCATACAGTAAAAACACAGTTTCAAATTGTACCATAGGCAAAACCACACTATGTTGTACACAATAAAAGTACTTTAAAATGTGATTTGGATTGCATTGAATTTGTAAACTGCTTTTGGTAGTATGGACATTTTTATGATGTGGATTCTTCCAATCCATGAACATGGAAAAATTTCCCTACTTTTACTGTCTCCTAATACTTTCTTTAGTGTTTTATAATTTTAATTTTAGAGAAAGTTTATTCCTAGGTATTTAATCTTTTTGGAGCTGTTGTGAATGGGACAGATCTTAAAAGTTCTTTCTCAGCCATGGCATTGTCTGTGTATACAATGCTTTTGATTTTTTTGTGTTCATTTTGTATCCTGCCACTTTACCAAACTATTTTATGAGCTCCAATAGTCTCTTAGTGGAATCTTGGATTCCCTCTATAATGAATCATGTCATCTGCAAATAGGGGTAGTTTGATTTCCTCCTTCCCAATTTACATCTCTTTGATTGCTTTTTCTTGCCTAATGGCTCTAGCTAAAGCTTCCAGTACTGTATTGAATAGCAGTGGTGAGAGTGGGCATCCTTGTCTGGTTCCAGTTCTCAATGGGAATGCTTCCAGCTTTTTCCCATTCCATAGGATTTGTCATAAATTGCCTTGATTGTGTTGAGGAATGTTCCTTCTATACCTAAATTGCTCAAGGTTTTCATTATGAAAGGATGTTGTATTTTATCAAATGCTTTCTCTGCATCTATTGAGACAACTATATGGTTTTTTAAAGACTTATTTATTTGAGAGGTAGAGTTACAGACAGAGGGAGAGACAGAAAGATCTTGCAGTTTTTGACCACTTCTCCCAGTAGAAGATGGCTAAAGTGTTGTCAAGTGATATCTAAGATTAGGTTATTAAAGGCCACAAAAATTCCATTGATTATTTTGCTCTCTTAAGGGTCTCTCTGTAGCAGGGGTGGGGAAGTTTTTTCTGCCAAGGACCATTTGGGTATTTATAACATCATCAACAGACCATACAAAATTATCAACTTAAAATCAGCCTGCTATAGATTTATTTAATTTCAAATCGTACTTGCAGTTGCTTTGGCAGGGTCATACCAAATGATTTCATATACTTTATATGGCCCATGCGCCAGACGTTCTCCACTCCTATTCTATGGTCTCTATCATTTGGAACCCAGTCATCCGATTAGGAGAAGCCCAAGTCACATTAGGCCTAGCTCAGTTCAATCTTTAAGTCTCCCGTCCTGAGGACCAGAAATGTGAGTGAGAAAGCCAGGATAATCTGGCATGCGACCTGCACTGTCGCACAGGGAGTCACATTCTAAAAGACTCTTGGTCTTTTAAGTCTTTTAAGTTGAGGCTTCATGCTCTAGCTGCTTTAAAGTTCTTTTGTAAAATTATTTTAGTTTATTTATTTACTTTTTTTTTTGACAAGCAGAGTGGACAGTGAGAGAGAGAGACAGAGAGAAAGGTCTTCCTTTTCTGTTGGTTCACTCCCCAATGGCCGCTGCGGCCGGCGTGCTGCAGCTGGCGCACCGCGCTGATCCGAAGCCAGGAGCCAGGTGCTTTTCCTGGTCTCCCATGCGGGTGCAGGGCCCAAGCACTTGGGCCATCCTCTACTGCTCTCCCGGGCCACAACAGAGAGCTGGCCTGGAAGAGGGGCAACTGGGATAGAATCCGGCGCCCTGACCGGGACTAGAACCCGGTTTGCTGGTGCCGCAGGCGGAGGATTAGCCTATTGAGCCGCGGCGCCGGCTGCTTTAAAATTCTTAATGCTTTTATTTTTTAATCTGTGTTGTATAAATGA